TCGACTCGACCATTGGCTCTCGGCGTGCTCGGGCCTCGAAAGCCACTTCCGCATCAGCGCGGCAGTGCGCGAGTACGAGGCAAGCGCGGGCGACCCAATCCTAACGGGCGTAGGAGTGCTGGATGCGGGAGCGCGCGCGCGACGCGTACAAGGACGCACGCATGGAAGCGGCCGAGAGTTTTGAACATGTGGGATTTTAGGGACATTCTAGATTTGCTTGGTGTGCAAGCCAAGCAATAGTTATTTGGTAGCTTTAGGATTTTATTGCTTTCTAGAGATAGGATTTCTATTCTTGCAATAATTAGGAGATCTAGTATAGTTAGGCATAGATTTATTTCTGCACCTATAAATACCCCATGTACCTCATCATATTTGACATGTGGAATGAAGTATTGAATTGGTGAGCCAATCTTGAGGGGGAACTGATGTTCTTAACGTATGTCTAAACAAGGCCGTTAGTGCGTGTTTACATACAGTGTCGGAGAGAAGGCCAATAGTGCGTCTTGAAGTCACGGTGTCTAGGAGAAGGCCGCAGTGCGTCTGTTAGACACGTCTATCGTGGATAAACGAAAGCCCAGAGCGCATTTATTCACAACAATCGTATAGACAGAAAATCGATCCGTCATCACGCGAGAGCCTGCCGCGCCGCGCCGCCTTCTACAGTCGCGAGCTCACCACGCCGCGAAGGGCACCGCGACATCGACAGAGGCAACGAACATCCAAAAGCCCCACGCCGCGACAGCTGCTGCGCCGCGCCAGCCTGTTCCACCGCGCCGCGAAGGGTCACCACGCCGCGACCCCTGACGAGGATGAAAGCGAGCAGAACTTCTTATCAGTTTTTTTAGCAGTTTATGTCAGTTTCTTTTTCTTTTCTTTTGGAAAAACCGTAGCTTATATTAGGAGAACTTTGTATTAGATTGGGAATTATCTTTTATGCATTAACAAATCAGGAAAATTGCTCCTTTCGAGCACCAAAATTCGTGTCGACCGACGGCCATTTAGCGCGGGTTAACACAATCTTAGTTTATTTCCTTCACATTCGATACACGATCGTAACACCTGCCCACGACACGGTCCAGGCTGTTTTAAGAGCAGATGCCGTGCTGCGAATACCCCAATTTTTCCGCTTACCTTTTAACAAAACAGAAACAAGAAAATGTCTTCTTCCCCAATGGACATGGACGCACCACTCCCTAACGGCGGCCACTCCACCGCGGCTGCTCCTCCGTCGAAAGTGGCGGATTCCTTGAAATTGGAACATCAGTTGCTTCGTGTGCCCTTCGAACATTACAAGAAGACGATCCGCGCCAACCACCGCACGGTCGAGAAAGAAGTCTCTGGCGTTATTTCCGGAGTATCAGACGCCGCCGATTCCGACCTTTCTCGAGATGACGCTGTTCATCGACTCAATTCTTTAGTCTCCCGATTGCAGGGCCTCAAGAGAAAAGTATTCTTTCTTTTCTTTTGTCTGAATTAGCATCACGTGTCGTGTTCCTTTAATTCCGTTTACCGCCTTTCGAGTTGCTTCAGATACTTTTTTAATTGGTTTTGGTTTGTTACAAATTTTGAATAATCTGATTATGTAAAGAATGACACACAAATCTGAGAATGCAAAAATCAAGATAATATCAGAATAAAAAAAAAAAAAAATCGTTCAGTGTCTTATGTTTTCCTTTGGAAATTCTCTTTTAGTTTCCAGCAGTTGTTTTTATCTATTTCCTCAGTTATCAGTTGAAAATGTTATGTGGAGAGGATAATTTTGCAGTTATGAGTAAACCGGCACATTTGTTATTAGATTGGAGGTTGAATGCAGTAATCACATTCAAGTTGGTATATTGAGTCATTTAAACCATGCCTTGAAGGATAACAATCTGTTTAATTTTACCATATATTTTAAGTTGGTTGAATTGAACAATATTTCTTCATTTTCTTATTATGGAATCAGTTGGAAGAGGGAAGTCGAACAGAGCACTTGCAAGCACAGAGATGTAGAACTAGGCTGGAGCATTTAGAATCTGCAGAAGTGGACAATTTTCCAGAGTGGAATTGCATCCGTTTGAAGCGAATACTTATTGATTACATGTTAAGAATGTCGTACTATGAAACTGCTGTAAAGCTTGCAGAGAGCAGTGATATTCAGGTGAGAGTTTTTGTCATATGTTTTAGCTTCATGTGGTTGCCTTTTATTTAATGGTTAGTATTGTTTCATCAAATATATGACTTAGTTGTCTTACTTTACAATTTATCAGCTTTTCTATTTCCTGAATCATATTTCCCCTGTGTGTGATGTGCGGCCACAATTGATGATTTACTCCCCAGGTACTGGTGAAAACTACGCAAACTATTGTTTGATAGAATCAAGTAGAGTTTTGATGATTATAGAATTTGGGAAATGATTTAATTTAGGAGTAACTAGACCTTCATTTTTTGTGGTTTGCCTAATCTTTTGTTGATGCATATAGTGGCTTCATGTCTGTATTCTATCTAACAGCTCACATTTTGGATGTCCTTGGCTCTATATTATCAGGATCTCGTTGATATCGATGTGTTTCTTGAAGCAAAGACGGTTATTGATGCTCTTCAAAAGAAGGAAGTAGCCCCTGCATTATTGTGGTGTGCTGACAACAAATCCAAGTTGAAAAAGTCCAAGGTACATGACCTTTTTTTTTTTTTTT